ATGAATTTCACCTTCATCTTAAACTAGGTTCTATAAAACTTTAAATAAACAAAATATTTGCCCTGAAATTGTAGATAAAAGTTCTATTTCCTTGACATGTCCTCCACAGATTGATCAAAATGACACAGTACTTCTTCAAACTTGTTTCCTGACTCATATATATTGAGTCCAAATAAATCCATATGTATCTCTTTGCAAATGTTTAAAGAAGTTAGAGCAGTTAAAGTGTAAATAGTTTTAAAAAGAAACCAACTTTAACCTGAATACTAGAGTTTCCTAGTTTGATAATGTATTTAGAGAAGAAAAGTATTCAACCAGAATGATCTTTACATAAAATTCACAAAAATGTGGGCTTTTAACATTTAGAAATCTTTCTGAATCTTTCACTTAAAATAAAAGCTGACAGTGACGTTGATGTTGAGGTTTTTTTAATCCTCTACTAATTTTGTTTTTCATATTAATTTTGCATGTATATCAGAAACAAAGTTTCCTAGGTATAAAAATGAATGAACTTTATAGATTTCTATTGTTTTACAGACTATAATCCTTTATTTATCATTTTACTAGTAAAATATAGATTTTAAAAAATGTATGAAGTTAGAAGGATAAGCTTTCATAACTCTGTCTTCCACTTAAGGGACCCCCTCAACAACAACAACAACAAAAAAAAAAACCACAGGCAACAGTGACTATCATAAAAGGTCACCCTTTTTCTAGGAACAAACAATTTATCAATAGATAATAAGTGCCTGGCCATTCGCAAAGGCTGCACAGCAATAGACAATGTTTTTTGCTCACATAATTACAAAACAGTAAAAGTTCAGAAACACTGCCTGAATCCACCTCCCTATTTTTACCCTTTACAATTCTCATTGCCCTTTGGGCCTCCGCTTGGAAGCAAATGGAAGACAGGCTGAAGTTTTCTCAATTGAGCTGAAGCTAAGAAACCTTTGATATGCTAATAGTCCCCTTCAAACGGTAAGAATTCACACTTGCATTAATTCAAACAATTTGTGCAGAATGATGTGAAATGGCACCTCTTTTGGAGGCAAGCAACAAAAGGAGAGAATCGGAATGTCTGAAGAAACTAAACAACAGAACATTTGTTCTGCCGTATTCTTTTTGCCATGCATAAATTTATTGGGGAGGGGGGAATAGCGGAGGGACAACAGAAAGTCCCATGACACACACACCTGAACAGACTGTAGAATAGAAAACAGACTTTCTATCTAAAGGTTTCTCAACTATTTTAATAATGCTAAATTAAAAATTACAAAGATACTTACACCCAAGTCTAAAGTGTCCCATCACAACTTGAAAGGTTGCATATTTGGGCGCATATTGCTTCATTAGTTCCCATCTTCGAAAGTCTGCCCAGGACCAAATTTAATTTACTAAGAGATATCCCAACAGGTAATTATTTACCAAACGGATGTGACTTTCATCATTGTGCAATTCCAACTGAGCAAAGAGCAAACTCGGTGGGGTCCATTCCAGACACAAACATTGACAGAGAACTAACTGAATGAACTAACTACGTCCGTTACACCTACACCTCTGGAAAGGGGACAAGAAAAGTACACATGCTGCAAAGAATGCAAAGAAAAATCAGACTTGGGGGCTGGGTGGAAGAAAAGTGCATTAGAACCTGGCCTTTGTAACGGGAACCATATGGTAGGTGGCTGAGACTCAGACGTTCTCAGGCTGCTTGCTTAGAGAAGCTGCTAAGCAGCCTGACACCTTTCAAGAAACAGTTGGAAAACATTTCCTCGATCTGAATTCGAGACAACATAGTTTGCATCAGAAAGAATGGAATGAGGGGGCCAGAGAGCAGGGCAAGAATGAGGGGGAAGGAGCCCCTAGAAGACCCGGAAAGGAGAAGATGGACCTTCCCACCTCCAACTATGCTTTTTGAGGACAAAGTGAAAAGATATAAAATAAATGAAAGACATACGTTCCTTAGCCTCCGCTCAGAGACACTCTGGTACTAAGTAAAGCTTCCAGCGACTTTCCCTAACCCAAACCCCGTAGTTCAGTGAAAGGAACAAACTTTACTGGCCCCAAGCAAAGAAGTCTCGCAAAAGTGCCTCCACACAGCTGGGGAGCTTTTGTTGGTTCGCTAGCCCTCGCCCCTCCGCCAGAGGGTCTCCCAGCCAATCAAAGAGTCCACTCTACATGGCCAAGGGGTCTCCCCTTTCTTCGCGCTCCTCCCACGCCTTTTTTCTTCACGCGCTTCCCACTGGGCACTCCATCCTACCAACCAGGATCCCGGAGGGCTCCCAGCCCCACAGCCATCCCAGGAGTCCACAACGTAACTTCCCCGCAGGCCCAACGAACGCAGCCCGCTGCTGCCCTCTCACTGCGGGTCCGGGAGGCTCTCTAGGCTCTCTTCCCTCCTCGAGGCCCTCCGAGTCTCCGGCCCCGCCATCCTCCTGCCCTCTGGGGCCGCCCTAACAACAGCAGCCCGCCATACCCAATCGATGTCAGCCCAACGCCGACCCACCACATCTGGCTGCACTCATTTCCCATCATTCTCAACTCTCCATACCACCTAACCCCAGGCCAGAGTCAACAACCCTCAACAACTCACCCGAGCCCCCCCACCAACGTTCACTTCTCCAGAACTCGCTCGCTAGCAGCGCTCGCCATCCCCGCTCACTTACTGGCCGGGACAGGCCTGCGGGAAGGAGGCGAGGGGCGATAGTGGGAGGGCCCAGCACCCCGAGTACCCCCCAAGGACCTGCCTTACACTCCTACTCCCCAAGCCAGTAATGAAAGGGCATGGGATGAAATCCCACAGCTTTTAGGAGACCAAAATATGCACAACCCAATTCTACCGCCACCTACCCCCCAACCCCACCCCCAGCAACTAAACTGACGCTTTGTGAGTATTACAACCCGAGAAAAGAAGAAACCGGCTGGACTGGGCTGAGAGTTCCTTGTATTGATTTTTTAAGAGAGAAGGTGGGGGGAGAACTGTGGCGGCGAGCAGCCCAAGTAAGCACGGTGTCTACCCCTGGTTCCGGACGAACATAAACAAACAACCGCGCCTGAACAAACCCGTGGTTCTCGCCACCTCCAGCATCCACCCCCGGGCAGAAGGCACAAAGCAAACAGGTCTCCGCAGCCCCGCACAGAGGCACATTGTTCGCTCCTGCAGCTCTTACCTCGGTCTGCGAGTGCGCCCAGGGGGAGGGCCGTCTGGCACGGGGGCTGTGCGGGGGAAAAGCGCAGAGGACAGCGGCGACCCTGGCCAGAAGGCCGACGCCGGCCAGGAGCCGGTCACAGTGCGCAGAGCCCTCCGGGGAGCCGGCCGCCGAGTCCGCGCGGGTGGCAGCGCCGCGGCTCGCCGGCCGGACACGGCGCCGTAGCTCGGCGCGTCCTCCTGCTTGGCCGCCGCCGCCGTCTCCTCCAGCCAAGCAGCCAGCGCCCGGCGACTCCTAGGGTTAAGTCAACATTTTCCCGCAGTTTCCCACACGCTGCTCTGCTAGATGGGTCTTTTACTAACACGCACACACCCACAAGCGGCACGCTGCCTTAAAAAAAAAAAAAAAAAATCTTTCTTTCTCTTTAGAAATCAGAGCAAAAGGGGTGGTGGAGGCAAAAGCCCGTCAAAGGTGCGCAGACTTGGGAGTCAGTCCCCTCGGAGCGGCGGTCGCGGGAGGGGCAGGCAGACGCCGGGGGCGTGAGGCCAACTCAGTTTGTCATGCGAAGCCCCTCAAGTCGCCGTCCGCGCCGGCCGGACGGGCATCCTTCTTGCCGACCCTGTGGCCCCTCTTCACATTTCAGATCTCCGAGGCGAGGCAGAGCGGTGGCCGCTGCCAAGGGAAAGGCAGAAGGCGAGGGCTTGGGCTCGGGAAAGCAGGGAGGAGAAAGGAAGAGCCACGCCACGCACAGCAGCGAAGGGGAGATGCCCCCCCCCCCAAAAAAAAAAACAATCCCAAGGAATTCTCCGGTAAGCTCCCGATTTCTCTCCGGCACCTCTGCGTGTGTGTGAGCGAGCAGAGAGTGAGTGAGAGGGGGAGAGAGAAAGAGAGGGAGAGAGGGAGAGAAACGGGGGAGTGCGAAGTCCTGACACAGACTCTCGGCGAGGTCTGAACTGGAGTCACCTCCAGCCTTCTCCTCCTCCTCCAACACCCCCCTCCCGCCCCTCACCCCCAGTTTGGCTAATCACATAAACACATTAGTGTGTACAGCAGCAAAGGACACATCTCGCCCTCCCGATTTTTCCAAGTAGGGGCTCAGGCAAACTCAAAAGATTACAGGCAGCTAAGTACAAAACGTGAAGCAGATAATCTATAACTCATTGCCGCCCAATGGCCATTTTCCACTCCATTTGAGCAGCTGCGGCGGCGGTGCGCCCAAGAAGGCGGGGGGGGGGCGGGGGCAGAACGAAAAGGGACACTTACGGGCCCGAGTCCTTCGGGTGGTGGTGGCAGTGGCCGAGCAGCCATCCAAACACTGGCCGGCCGGAACTCCGGCCGGGCTCCGCCGGCGGGGCGGCCGCAGGGCTGTCCCGGCGGCTCTGGTAGAGGCTGCTGCTAGGGGCGCGCGCGCACAGCCGCGGAACGCGCCCCGGAGGCGACCTGCGCCGGCTCGCGCACCCTTTCTCCCCTCCCCGGCGGCTCGTGCACCTCCACTGTCCCAAGCTCCGCGTTCAATCTCCACCCACCCCCCCAACCCCCATCTACACACCCATTCAGCCACCACCGGCCAAACTCCACTTACTGCGCGCTCTATCCTCCGCGCGCTCCTCTGGCGCGCGCTTTTCATCCACTCCACACACACGCACTTTAAAAACATTTATTTTATTTCTGGAACGGGGTGAAGGGTATTTGGAAGAGCGCAGCAGAGCGCAACGCTCCAGCCTCCCAGGTGGGGCGCAGGGGACCCGGCCAGCAGCTCTAGCACACACACCCCCCTCCCGTTTTTCCCCAGGCCAAGGAGCTTTCTCCTAGCCTGGACATAAGAGCGGCGTCCAGGATGCGTTTTTTACCCACCCCGTCTCCAGGTTTTCTCTTTTCTCCGTACACCGAGCCGGAGGCCCCGAAACTTTTAGTTTCCGCAGCCCTCCTTTTGTGTGACTGCTAGCTAGTAGGAGAAAGAACGTCTGTTCGCCGCGACTGCCTCCGTCCGGCTGCGGGGGACGCTCCAGGGTTAATGCGTCTTTGATACCTGAGATTTCCGGTGCGCTTGTTAATGAAACTTACATTTTTTTAAAATTGCGATGACTTTTTCTTTGTAGTTACATAGAGGTAGCTAAACTTTTACTTTATTGCTTATGTTTCACAAGTGTTTTCTGTGTGTTTGTGTGTGTATTTTATTAAAACCAGAATAAGCTAAGGAAGGAAACACTACAAAGCTCTCTACTCGAAAATGCATTCATCGTGCTGTTAGGTCTGTTTCCTTGATTTCCTTACATTGAAACTGTTTTTACTCTTGTCTTCTGAACACACTTCTTTGCCCCACTCTGTTGACAGTGTCGGCAAACAGCCAGACAGAGCCAACGACGGACCCAAGCTGAGGAGGGCACACCACAGCGGGGCAAATCACGCTTGAAAAACGTTTAAAAACCAATTAGAGTCTTCGTGCATAGGAGGGAAATCAAACTTAGAGTTCTTTTTTATTATTACAAATATCTGAGCTAGAATTGACTGAGTTTTCAGATGTACTCAGACGTCTCACTCTGATTCTATTAATGTATGTAGCTATCATTTAAAGAAGCATATTTGCATTGGATTTGGAGAGAAAATTATTCTCCAAGATTTGAACTAGGACAAAACTTGAGCGTCGTCTTTCCTTTCAAAAATAATACGAGTATATACATTTTGTTGCTGTTCAGTTATCATACTTAGGATATCATTTCAAACAACTATGTAATTAAAATACAAACACCAGATTGCTTAAAAGACTTAAAGGCTCTACATAGGTACCTGTCTTTTGTCACAAAGCCAGATATTTGTATGTAATACTAAACTGAATCCAAGTATTAGTCAAGTTTCTCTCTCCTTATTAAAAAAAAAAATCATAAATTAATTTTACAGTGGGCTGAAAAGTGAATGTGTTTTTGTTCATTCAATTCATTATAATTTATAGATTAAAACAATTGTTGATAATCAAATTTATTTTCATTGACAGTATTCCTGTTTTAATATTCTCATCATTACAAAAGATAAGAGGAAGAACTTAAGTGTATTTGGGTTATAAACTGCATACAAACTTATGTTTGGAATTTCTTATACAGTATTCAGATACTGCAAATACAGCATGTAAGCTAGTCTGAAAGAAGTACACGTATGCACAGCTAGCGTGAAACCTTATCTACACCTAAGTTTTATATCAGTAAAATATATACGTACATACAACAAATATACCTTGTGTTACTTGAAGCTAAGTTAGGCTAGTTAAAGTAGTTAAAAAGACAGAATTAAAGAATCCTGAGTTCATTTGGACTTCAGAGTGCGTTCATATCACTGTCTCCTTTGGCATTTAAAATTAGTGTATTCTGGATAATAAAGCAAAATTTGTGTGTGAAACTAGTAATATTTGTATTTACTTAAAATTTTATACCTTTTTTTTGTTCATCCTTGAAGGTTTTGCAACCACCTGGGCATGATTCACAAGCAGCTACAATGAGGGCGTAGTCCTATTTTCTTTTGGGAGGTAACACTTGGGCTGAGGATTTTATTTAGTGAGGTTAGTAAATAATCAATAGAAATTTGTGCCTAAATTAGTTTGGCCATATATTAGCTCATTTACTCATTTATTAAACACTTTCAGAAAGAATCTCTAGAGGAACTCAACATCTGCATTTCTTAGGTCTGCTTCCTTTGGTGTCAGAACCTAAGTGAGTCAGTGTTCATTATGTTCCTAAAAAGATCACACAACATAAAAGAAGGATGTATGAAAAGGAGAAGGAATTGTCAGAAGAGATTTAAAACTATAAAAACTAGAAAATGCTCCATGCCATTTGGAAGAGTTCAAATGTGGTTTAATACTTTTTGTAATCATAATTTAAGCATGCTATGATTTTAAAATTATATCTGAAAGTATTCCTTTTCACTCATAATGTTGTAAATATTTTTTAAATGTTTCTTTTCTTGCACTTTAGACATAATGCTAGCCTTCTGCATATACACAGAAAAGAATTGAAACAGGGCTTTCAATGGCATTGATATATTCAAGATTAAGCTGTTAGCCACAAACCTGTCATTACAAAGGAACATTTAAATGACACACACCACAGAGTATACCTATATCCAGAAAACATAATTTGTCTAACCCTTAGTGACAATTCAAATCATAATTTATAACAATACAGGTGTTATAGGAGAAAAAATAAAATGAAAAGCTTAATAATGTCTGCAGATGTTAACAAGTAGAGTTGGAATGCTATGCATTCCCTACAATTGAATCAATTCAACTACTCAATCTATACTATTACTTAAAGAATGGCAAAATCATTGACTTATTCATAATACTTGCTAATTGTTTTTTAAAATAAATACTACAGAAGACTAAGGAAACACCCACTTCCATTTGTTTTATGTTAAATCAACATCTAACCACTCATGGTGATTTCATTCAAAGAAAACAGAAGGAACTCATTAGCTTATGTGGTTAGAAAGATTGATGGGCTTCAACCATTTTAACCATGCATGTTTTTTTTTTTTTCTTTTTCAACTGTAGAAACTCATGTTTTTAATTTAAGCAACTTTAAGAAATTAAATATTGTTTTATTCAATGGGTTCACATATTTCTGATACAAAAATTATGCTAATTTTTTAACTGTTTACTATTCAAGCATCTTTGTTTAGTGGAAAGCAATCGCATACTTGTCAAAACACATATGAATAACAATACTTTGGGTAACAAAGAATCTGACTAAGTATAAAAATGGACACGCTTACAAAGTATTGTGGTAAGTGTAAATCAATGGAACTGAGTAGCTTCTTCACTGTCTGATCTGGCATACAAATAATCCAATTCTAAATGGGGTTGAGTGGAGGAGGGACGAGAAGAGGTGTGTGGGACTTAACAGTAGGCTGAAAATTGTAATGAAGTTTGAACTACACAGTTGTAAGACACTATCAAAGAGGAAAGGTAGTGTCATTATATGTTGTTGTTGTTGTTATTAAGTGCCGTGAGTTCTGACTCACAGCAACCCTATATAAAGTTCCCAAGGAGGCTGGTGAGCTTGAACTGCTGACCTTGGGCTTCAAACCGAACTTGCATTTCAGCGCATTTACCAGTAGCACCATTATGAAGAGCCTATTTTTGCTGTGATTAAAGTAAAAATGTTAAACTGGTCTAGTTACTAATACAGATAACAGAAATAAAATAAGCTAGATTCCTTCTTCATTGCTCCTTTCTTCATTATTACTGTTCAATGATGCTTGGTGCTGAAACTTGAATTCCTTACTTTAGAAAACAAACTTTCTTGAAGTTCTAGAGCAGAGTGAATGATATATGAATATCAAAATTAACTAGACCTGGTTGAAAGTTGCTAGTTTTGTTTTTCATTTCAGCCTTGCCATGTATGTAGGCTGAAAAGAAATCAAAACTCATTTTCCATGAGAGCAAAAACATATGAAAGCATTTGGCAAGGCCAATACGTTTTTAACTACTCTCCCGGTTGTCTCTAGGTTGAAAAAATCTTGTCCAAGATGGCCAGGATTTGCCCAAAATATAGAAATGCAGTCTCCAGAAGTAGTGACATTTCAAAGTGTGATATAAATATAATTATGATGTACTGTGTATGCTTAATGAGACTATTTAGAAATATGTAATCGCATATTAAATATCAGTTTTTCATAATTAATATTTTTTAATGCACCACCACCAATACAGCTGTTAGTCTGACTGTTTCTAGGCATTTTCTATGTATTTTGAGTATACACATAAAATTTTTATAATCCTTTATATATCTGTATCTATAGATATATAAAGGATTATAAAATGTTCATACCATTACCATTATGATACTCAAAGATAAGCAAACTGAAAGAGATATCCTTCATAATTATTGTTTTATTGAATCTTAGATAAGTCAAAGTTTGTCTTCCTTTCTCATGGATTGTTCCCATTCCTCTCGTTAATCTCTGCACCTTGAGGATTTTCTATAATTGGGTCTTATAGATCTTCTTCTGTCAAGGCTTCTGTCAAACCACAAAGTGTAACTAGAACAATACTCATTTTGTACAAAACTGTCTGTAACTTCTTATCATTATTATCTTGTTAGCCATAAATACTCATAACCAAATGTTTTCTTGTTATATATATATATATTAAATATAAACAAATAGGCCCATATTATCATCTTAAATCTATACCTGCATAAAATATTTTCATATATTAACAGTATATAAATATACATATATAATGCCATATAATTTAAAATAGGACTTCACATCCTTTTAAATATGTAAACCTCTACTTCTATCATCAATGAAGATGAAATTGCTTTAATATTGTTGATGTTAATCTAAAAAATCTAAAATTACACTTATATGTTTTAAAGTATAAAACATTGGAATGGGCAATTCTTGATAAAGCTTCATATATCCATAGTTGCAGAACAAAAGCAAAGTGATGGTAGAGGCAACTATGCACTGTGAAATTTTAACTCTTAAAGGTAACAACAACAAAGGTAACCAAATTGATTTTTTATTGCTTCTGGCAATATGACTAATTATTTATTTCATAGTTCATTGTAATTTGGCAAAACGTGCAAGACACTTACAAAATTCAGGAAATAAACTTAGAAATGCCCTCTTTGCATTACAGAAAGTGATTCAAATATACTATAACACTTCGAATATCACTTTCTAATAATTTAAGTTTCCTTGATAGAGCATAAAATAATCATATAGTCATAGTATTTTTAAAATATAAGATTTGTTTCATTTTTATATATTTTCTGAATACCTTATATAAAATTGCATAGCATGATATATTTGGCCCTGACTTTCATTGCTCCTTCACATCCTATAAATGGGTTGTTACTAACATTATTCCTAATTTTGTTTCCTAATTAATATGACCTTTTTTTTTTTAACTTCACTCACCTGCTGCATTTTTTTTTAATTGCTTTTATTTGATGGGTATATTTTAGTATAAA